ATCCAATTGGCTCATCGGTTCAGGTGATCGGGATGGCAATCGAGCTAAACGTGCCACAGCCTCCAAAAACAAAAGTAGAGAAGTACACCCAGACATAAATGCTTCTGACAAAGAAGATTAATATATGTTAAATATATCTATATATAAATAGAAAAGTTCTTAAAAAAATTCTGACAAAGAAGATTAATATATATTAAATATATCTTTATATAAATAGAAAAATTAGAAGTATGAAATTTATACTTTATAACATTTATGCAGTGTATTATTAAATAATAACAATGTGATTATGTAAGTCAATTGCAAGATATATTGCATATATTGGTGTTTCATTAAAGTTACTTTTAAACATATTGCATGCGGGACACATATTAGTATGTTTTATAATATTTGATGCTTGAGCACAGGACACATACTAGTACATTTTCTGAAAGTTGTTACTTGAATGCTTGTCCTGTACTAGCAAGGCCGGCGCGATGGGGGTGTGTGGGGGTTGATACACACACACACCCCATCAATAATTTTGTTGTTCGTTTAGTCTGCAAATTTGACCCATTTTGACTAGTTAGTTGACAAATGTAGACCCTTTTGACAAGTTAGTCGGTAAATTTAAACAGTCAGTTGGTATGTATCATTATGGCAGTCGGTAAATGTCGTTATGGCAAATCTTAAAAAACGAAGACCTTTCTTTTTATTTATTTTTTAGTCGGCAAAAGTTGTAATGGCACCACCCACCTACGTGATACCTACTCGTGCCGGCCCTGTGTACTAGTATAGATTAGTGTAACAACATGGTTTTTTCTGTATTTCTTTATATTATCTGTATTTTAGTGTTTAAAAAAAGCTGCTGCTGCAAAATGTACCTGCAAACAATGTGGTAATATATAAAAATTTAATTGAAATTTAATTTACTTAATAGTGATATTTAAATCTGTTATAATGAAGCATAATTTTTTCAATCATATTTTTGTCTTGTTAAAGTGTAACGTTAATAATATATAAGTTATCAAACTTAAAATAATCTTACATCTTTTTTCCACAACATAAAAACATTTACTTTTTTCCACAACATAAAAACATAGTATAGTGATTCATTTAGTTAAATGATTCGGATGAAATAGTTCTACTGGTAAGCCAACAAGCTAAGTCTAATCTTGCATTGAAAAAAATATTGTTTGGACTTTAGGATAGCAGGTAATAGTAATATTTAGGATAGCAGATAATAGTAATATTAGCAAGTAACATTAATATTCACTTCTGTGTATCTATTTCACAAGTTGTAAGGTATTTGATTTTGAACATAGTTATCATTACTCGAAAGTTATTTTGTATACTTAATTTATTGTTAACTTTATTTATTATAAACTTTAGCAACTTCCAAAGACCAAGAAAAAAATTAAAGTTTTCAAAAAAAGGGAGAATTCGCTCACCAAAAGTATATATATATATATATATATATATATATATATATATATATATATATATATATATATATATATATATATATATATATATATATATATATATATATATATATATATATATATATATACTTTTTATATATATATATATATATATATATATGATATATATATATATATATATATATATATATATATATATATATATATATATATATATATATATATATATATATATATATGTATGTATGTATGTATGTATGTATATATATATATATATAATATATATATATATTTATATATTTATATTCATAAATATATATATAATATAATATATATATTATATTATATTTTATATATTATTATAATATATATATATAAATATATATATATATATATTATATTAATATATATGTATATATATTTTTACTTGGAATTAGGTATAGATACTTAAATTTAACTTCTTAAACACAAAGCTTTATGTTAATAGCCATGGTTATATAATATATTATATTATTTAATGCATTATATAATAAATGCTTATTAACATTCAACATACCTGTGTCAGGTATCAAGATCCCTCATTGTCACTTCCTAGAACACAGAAGAAACTATATATATAGTTTCTTCTGTGTTTGTGTTCTGGGAAGTGTCAATGAGGAATACTTAAAGAGCAAAAATTTACGAGTTGGAATGGTTCCTAAAGTTCTAAAAAAGGAACACATAATAAAAGGAACACATAATAAATTGTAGAAACTATATATATAGTTTCTACAGTTTATTATGTGTTCCTTTTTTAGCACTTAAGAAACCATTCCCACTCGTTAATTTTTGTTCAAGTAATAATATTATTGTCTTTAACAGGTTGGTTACTAACGTGATCAAGGAGGTTGTACTCTTGTGGAGAATACTGGCCGTAATAGTGCTGTAATGACAATAAACACAAATACATATGAATCGAAGTAAATATAACTCCAGAAAATTTGTAAGTAATAATTTGTTTAATTGAAATTTGTTAATATTACCTTTTTTTTTATGAGTTACTATTCAAATCTAAATTATTTTTGTTTGCAGAAACTGTAACGAGGAATGCACATCAATGATTGAATGTCCTCACATTGTGACTTGGCTTTGCGTCACAAGACTGAGATGACAAACAAGCTAAATGTGCTAAAGCCTTCAAAAACAAGGCTTCATCGAGAAGTACCTTTGCACATAGAATGATGAATAATATGAAATATATAATATATTATAATACATTGTTTTGTTTTTACTACTTTTTTTTCGTATAATGTTCACTGAACAGTATGCGGAATATAAAAATATTATCTAAACTTAATATACTATCTGAAATCTGTATTAATTTCCAGATTAATGAACTGTTCAGATATCTGTACATTCAGATCGTCGACCAAACTATTTAATAAAAAACAAAAAAAAATGTCGATACAAAAATAAGTAAGCTAACAAACTTATTTAAAGTATAAATAATTGTTCTCTTTATTTAGCTAAGTACTGATACTCTACTGTGTTTTTAACCTATATAAAAGCAAATAATATTCATAATACAAAATGTAGGGAGGTTTTTTTTTATTTTATAAAGTAGCCCATATAGGCCCCATGTGGCGCCCGCGGCCAACTTTTAGGTAGGCCCCATATGGGTAGCTCATGTGGGGCCCATCAAATAGCCCATACTGGCCCCATCTAGGGCCCGGATGAACATGTTGGCTGGGAAAGTACAATACCAGTGAGATCATTTATTAAATTTTACACCATTTCCTTTAAAACAGCATGGAGACTATATGCTTGTAGAAATAAGAGGTTTGGAACAACCTGAAATAAATTTCAAGCGTTAAATAAAATTAATGCATTAAAATAAAGATATAAAGATATGTAAACCAATTTATAAACTCAAACCAATAACGTAGATAAAACGTTTTTATGCATCGGAAATAACACTTTCATGCTGTGTGCAAACTCCAAATCTAAATATATTAAGATATATTTCAAATGAGAATGTTTTGCAAAAAACTGCTGGAGTGCTCTTTTTTGGATACTTTTGTTCCCAGGCTTCAAGAAGCTTTTTTTAGTCTATTTTATAAGAAGCGGTGATGAGGAAAATTTATGCTTTCTTTATGCCGCAGGCATTTATAGACTTTTCTTACATTTTTGTACGTTGTAAACAACGGCAAAATAAATTCAACATAGCTAAATTAAGTTCTAAGCTAAATATATTAAAAATTTTCAAAAATTTTCATAATTATGTTTAAAAGTGTAATAAACATAATAATTTAATATCTAATAGTAAATGAATCTTATGCATGAACATAAATAAGTTGTGTTGTTGACATACGCATGAGCATGCGTAATTTTACAAAAAGTATAGCTCTATATAGTAGAATAAAAAAGTTATATCAACAATGCAATATTACCCCTAAGTTCTTTTTTTCAATTAAAAAAATTTTAATAAACAGTAATAAAACATCTATGCATTTAACCTTTTAAACCATTAAAAATACAATTAGATAGCCATTCCTTTAACAATAAAATATCATATGGGAACTTTTTAATTTTAGAGATACATGAATATAAAGTAAGCCTCTAATTCAATTTATTATGTTTTTAGATCTTTATACTTTTTTGTTTACAATGGATAAAACTGTAATATTTTATCAAAATTCACGATTTAAATCTTTTCAAGTAAACAAAAATATACTTCTAGATAGTCATTCAGATCCAGATATTAATTTTTATGATTGTAGTGATGAAATGAAAAACATAAGTCCATTATATTACAACTTAAATACTTCAAATCCTGAAATAGATATAGATGCATTCTCAATCCTACATTTAAATATTAGAAGCATTCAAAAAAAATTTGAGAAATTTAAACTTTTTTTACTCAGCACAAAAACGGAGTTTAAAGTTATTTGCCTCAAAGAAACTTGGTGTCACAATATTGAAATTGAAAACAATTCAAATTTTCAGTTAATTAATTATAAAGTAGTTCATCAACTTAGAAACTCTAATAAACCAGGTGGAGAAGTATGCATCTTTATCCACAACTCATTGATTTATAAACCGCGAAGTGATTACTGTACAGCAAGTAATGATTGTGAGTCACTGACAATTGAAATATTCAGTAAAACTACCAAAAACATAATTGTGCATGTTTTATACAGACCGCCCTCAGGAAATATGAAAATATTTGATAAACACATCAAAAATTTAATTACAAATAAAGATGTTTGTAGTAAATGCGTTTACCTTGTGGGCGATTTGAATTTAAATGTATTAGAATATGACTCAAATAAAAGCGTCAGAAACTTTATTAATTTAGTATTTCAAAATAGATTTATTCCAACCATAAATAAACCAACTAGAATCACCAATAATAGTGCAACCTCGATTGATCAAATTATAACAAACAAATTTACTGACACAAAATTACTCAATTACTAAAATTCAAAGACGACACTCAGAAAACCTGGAATGTAATTAAAGATTTAATTGGTAAAAAAAAGTTATCAACAACTTGTCTTCCAAAAACAATAAACTTTAATGGCGTTAATATACTTAATGAATCAAAAATTGCAAAAACATTTAATCAAGTTTTTGTTAGTGTAGGATCAAATTTAGCCTCAAAACTAAAACCTGGTAAATTTAGCGTAGAGTCATACTTAACTGCTAACAATTCAATAATGACCAACAATAAACTGACTAAAAATGAGTTATTAATTGCGATTCAAACATTAAAACTAAACAAAGGATTAGGAGTTGATGAAATAAGCAGTAATGTTGTAATAAAATCTATGCATTATTTAATAACACCACTGTTGCATATTTTTAATCTTTCTTTAAAACAAGGAGTATTTCCAGAAAGTTTCAAAACTGCAAGAGTTATACCGGTTTTCAAATCGGGTGATTCTTCTAATGTCTCTAATTATAGACCTATTTCCATTCTTCCTTGCTTCTCTAAAATTCTGGAACGAATAATGTATAATAGACTATTCTCTTTTCTAAAAACAAATAATATTTATACAACAAACAATTTGGGTTCAAAAAAGGTCATTCAACTGATCATGCTGTTCTTAAAGTTGTTCATGATATTTTTCGAGCCTTTGATAAAAAAGAGTATACATTAGGTATTTTAATAGGCCTTAGCAAAGCCTTTGACAGAGTTGACCACCATATTTTATCAAAAAAAAACTATTTAACTACGGAGTTAAAATGCAAATAAAGCTTGGTTTAAAAACTACTTGTCTAATAGAAAGCAGTATGTTTCTTATGATGGTGGTAAAACTGAAAACAAGACAATCACTTGTGGAGTTCCTCAAGGATCCATTTTAGGACCGCTTTTGTTTTTAATATACATTAACGATTTAAGCAAAGCCTCGAATATTTTAGACTCTATTTTGATTGCTGACAATACTAATTTATTTTATTCCCATAGTAATATAAAAACCCTATTTAAAACAGTCAACAAAGAACTTTTAAAAGTAACTGAGTGGTTTGACATAAATAAATTGTCATTAAACTTAACCAAAACTAAGCATATTTTTTTTCATCGCCTTTATCAAAGAGACAAAATTCCTCTAAAGCTCCCAAATATTAGCATTGGGAATCAATTTATAAAAAGAGAACACTCAATGAAGTTTCTAGGAGTTCTTCTTGACAAAAATGCCACATGGATAAGCCACATAAAATTAATTGAAAATAAAATTTCTAAAAATATTGGCGTACTTTATAAGGTAAAACCTTACCTAAATCAAATTTGCTTAAAATATATCTACTTTACTTTTATCCATTGTTATCTAAATTATGCCAACATTGCTTGGTGCAGCACCAATAAAAAAAAAACTAAACAAACTAAATATTTACCAAATAAATATATATCATCATTTAATTTTTATGTATAAAATCCATTACGATACGTTGCCGAATATTTTTTAAACGCTATTTAAAAAAATACAACACAAATAGCTTACTAGACATGCAAACAATAATTATATTCAAGCTAAAACTCACTTTGAAGCCACTAAGTTTTCTATCACAGCTAGAGGCCCCTAACTATGGAGTATAATAATTAGAAATGACATCAAAACGCTTGCAAACATAAATATTTTTAAATCAAAACTAAAAGAAATAATTTTAATTAATCAAAACATAAAGGACTTCTTCTAGAGCTATATTTATTTATTGGCCTTTAAAGTATTGTATAGTATATTTTCATTTTATTTGCAAAGGTTAAAAAATGTGGTTCTTTACAAAAGTTATTTTTTATTTTTTTATTTTCTTATTATGAAAATCTAAAAAATTTTTCCTTAAAATTTTAAATTCTTTTCATTATATTTCCTAATTGTATTCCCTATTCCATTATATTCCCTATTGGGGGCTTGGCGATAAGACTATTTTGTCTTCTTCTTGCCCCCGCCATGTGTATATTTTACAAATACGAGAGTTGTAATTATTTTAAACGACAAATTCAAAAAAAAAAAAAAAGATTTAAGCTTATGAAATTTAGACAAAGAAAAGGTTTTTAAATTCTTTTTTTTTTTTTTATCTTAGCTAAACTCCTTTGATATAAAAAACAAAATTAAGTCGCAGCTGTCTTAATGCCTAAATTTACAACTTTTACAAAAACATACAAATTTTCTTCAAAAATCACAAAATTTCAATAAAAAATGAGTTAAATAATAACGATGCCATTTTTTTTATCTAGTTTATATATAGTTAATATAAATACAAAAATAAGAAATAGATTTAATCTAAAAATATTTAGTATATTAAGTTTACTAAAAAATATTTTTAATAATCTTTTTCTATGTTACTTTTTTTTTTCTTTGTTTCTGTTTTGATTTTTTTTCAAACAAAGCAATGCATCTGACAAAGTATAACAAATGGATAAAGTATAACAAATCGTGATTATAGTCAAAGAATTAACAAAAAAATCATATCTTTTAGTGCCAAAAGCTTATTAGGCTTATTGCCAAATATTATATTGTATTGCTAAAGACTTAATTACGTGAGTTTAACCTGTGGAAAATTTAGTCGAAGTTCACTAAACTGCCTGATTTTCATAAATGAGCTTCAATCGAATAATAATGAAACATTACAAGCAACAATCCTTTTTCACGAGATTATAAAAAAAATTTATGAAGCCTAAAAGGTTATAAGAGAATGGTAAATGTTGCAAAGAAAAATGTTAGATTCGAAACGGTTAAGCTTAACTTTTTAAACAGAGATTTTTTTCACAA